AAGAAAGCTGGGATCACACCCACTGAAGACTGTCTGCAGCACTGCCCACACTTTGGCTCTGGGCTCTTCTTCAGCCCATCTCCTTAGCCACAACCCTGGGCTCCAGATGAGCCAAACTACACCAAGTTCCCCATATGCCATGTTCTGTCATTGGCTGTTTTTCCACCTAAAGCATTCTTTTCCCATTCCTCTACCTGGCTGACTGTAACCCAGTGCAATACTCCATCATAATGTCTTCCTGAGCATAATGGTTTCATGCATCTAGTTTGCCCAATGGAGTGGGTTTGATTTTTGAAGAGTTATGCTCCCAGAGTCTCACATGTAAGGATAATACTTGATAAATGTTTGCTGAATGAATGGATGGAGTTGTAGGTGCCAGTAAAATACCATAGCAATTGACCACATGACTGCCTCCTGGCATGCTATGAATAATATACTGAGAGTTCCAGATCATGCTGCAGCATCTCCTGCAACCATGCCCCTTTTGAAGACACACTACATGGAATGACGCACATAGCCCTGCTACTGTGGGCTGAACTGCCGCAGACCTCTCAGACTCCCTTTAAGTTAAGGCAGGGATAGGCTGTTCCAGCAAGATTCTTCCACAGCAAAATGGAAACGTTCACCAGGACAGAAAACTGAAAATGTCTGCTTCGAAAGGTGCATCTGTTCTTCTTTCCCCATCACACTCCCAGACCCTCTTATGCTCCAGAGGAAAACTGAAACATGTAAAACACCGGCCACAAAACAGCACAAGGTCAACGTGAGGAGAGCGGACACGGAGTGAGACGGCAAATATGTAAAAATGCATGCAGTGACAGAAACCTGCAAGGTACAGAAAAGTAAAGAGAAGGTAGTGCCAGGAGGTAGATCCTTGTTGAGCCAACTGAGCTGAGGATGAACACAAAGACCAAAGCAAATCTCACAGTGCAATGGACAGAAGCCAGCAGCAGGACTACTGCCACTAAAGGAACTGTGTGTCAACTGAAAACCAAGTTAAACTAATCTAATACCAAAAAGGCTATAAAGATCATTTCAAATAGTATTATTCAAAGATCAAAACAAAATTGGATGAAGTTTAAATAAAAACCTGCTACTGATTCAAAGTAACACAGCAGAGATATAAAACAAAAACCCTGGTAACTTAATACATCGGAAAGTAGACGGAAAAGAAAGCCCTACATCATCAATCAGTAGATGGAGACAGTCAGCAATCAAAGCAAGATGTCAAAATATCACGAAACACACATAACTGAAACCATGATAAGAACATAGAGGAGAAGGCTTACATGTTAATATTCATGAACAAATATGAGGGAGGAAAACAGTGTACCTTTGCCTCACAGAAATGAGCCGGCTGCTTCGCCCTCTGTCCCCACAACCAGCGTTTCCTCTCACTCACAAGGACTCTAAAACCGTGACTCTCCCAACTGCTCAGCCACTTAATCCATAAAGTAAATCAGGATGGATTTAGAACACTCATCTCAAACACAGGAGGAAGAGCAGGGAATGCTTACTTAAGTTTATGGCACTTCGCTTAGGAAACCGAATGCATCTCAGACAGCTGCTTGTTCTACACTCTTTTTGTTACCCAGGTGAACTCAGAGGCTAAGGCAGTTAAATGGCCGCCTCAAGAACCAAGGCGGAAGAACACTGGACAAACGTCACTAAGGGGCAGGTCACATTTTATCACGGACTTTTAACCTAGAGGGTTCAGCACAATTGGGAAGAACCACAGCATTTCTAGACCGGTAAGGACATTGCTTCTTTTCTTCATCTCGCTCCTAATAAGTACTGCTATAATTTTTTTCTCAGTTTAAATGAATGCATGTGATGGACTCTCACTGCTAAAGACACTGAAGACTGTCATCAAGCAGCTGTCATCACCACAAACCTCTTTCTACAGAGTCAATCTGCACCTCCTTACCCACGCCCAGCAGAGCAAGCATTTCAAAGAGGACCCAGGATTTCAAAGCCAGGAGAAGCCATGGATACTGTTGCTTCCCTTCCCAGCAGAAAAATAAACCAAACCACTGGGAATGTTTCCACTTTTCACTGTCTTGCCAGCTAGGCTTTCATGTCATGGACATGTATCAAAACATCACCCCAACAAGAATGTAAGGATTTCCTTGAAACAGATTTCACAATAGAACTTTAATTTACACAAAATTAATAATTATATATATATATATCTATATGGGAGGCCCTAGTCTTTTAAATGTTAATTCTGCCATTTCAATCCTTCACCTAATATTTGCTGAGAGCTAATCTAAGAGCTGGAGACACAACAGTGAGCAAAGAGTCACTACCCCTGCTCTCACAGGACTAACAGTCTAGCAAGACAGAGGTGGAAAAGCAAATCAACAAACCAACATCTATCACAGCGACTGGGAAGGAAAAACAAACAAGAGAAAGGCACCCAGTGAGGGAAGAGCCATGCTATGTCTGACAGACAGGGTCTCTCTGAGGAAGTGTCATCCAGCCAGAAACACGGAGACAATGGGGCCGAGCAGCAAGTACCTGGGGTGGGGATATTCCCAGGAGAGAGAACAGCGCATTCGCTGGGTGCATGCTTTGTTGGGAAGTCTGAGAAGGGCAAGGGGACCCACTGGCAGAAGAGGATGAGCGTACTGAGAAAGCAGTGGAAGGTGGGGCCCCAAATCCTGGGAGGACCTGAGCCACTTCAGAATGAAATTCTGGGTGCCGGGTGGAGGACAGACCAAGGCAGGGGTTGGGAGGGCAGGGAGGGGCAGGAGGGACCGTGACCACCCAGGTGAGAGAGCAGCAGCAGTGGAAACCAAGGTGGCCCCAGCGGCAGGAGGGACCCGAGTTGGGTTCTGGACATTTTTGTCACAGCAGAGTTGACAACATTTGCGAATGGATGGGATGTGAGTGTGAGTAAGAAACACGCTGAGTGTAATCCCATAGACTTCGACATGGAAAGCTGCAGGAAGGAGCAGATTTGGGGGTGGGGGGAGATGGGGTGCAGGAGGTGGTTTTGAGCCTGTAAGTGTGAGATGTCACTAACCATCTGAACATGGGTACAAGGTGCCATGCAAGTGCCTAAGAATGACAGAAGTTTAAAAATGCTTCCAAGGAGTCCATCCTTATCAGGTATGACCTGAATCCCTGAGTCACCTCTGCTTGCCAGAACTTCACCTTCCACACAGCCCCAAACTCTACCATCTGAAAGAATGTCATTATTACTTCTTAACTATGTGTTTCTCAAATTCTAGTATAAATGCAAGAACAGTTATCTATATCTTCTCTCAAGTGAAGAAGGTATAGATAGCAGGATGCTTCTTCCATTAGCATTCACATCTCAGCTCAAGCAGGCCACATGGAACTTCCCTGCTATCTACCCTGTATCCCCCATTCCATCACCTCCTAGCACTGACTCCATCCAGAATCCTACATTACTTGTGTAAGGATCTGCTTGCTATTAGTATCCCCCACCATACTTCAAACCCCTTGCAATGAAGTCGTATTCCTTGGCTCAATACTATAGGAACTACCAGTTGCAAACTCTTGGCAGGTGCCCAAGAGCACTTAATAAATAGTTGGTGAATAAATCAATGAGTGCTGCGTTGGTGTTGCACAGACATCAAGTAAAAAGGCACTGGGGCTGAAGGGCTCTATGGTATATTGCATTTGGGAAACACATCAACTCTAGAACACTAAACTGAGTAACATTAAATAAAGTTTATCAAAATTAGTTCTTGTGTTTGCATTGGCTTTTATTTATTTCATTAAGCATCAACATTTTTGAGTATTTCCAAAAAGTGTGAAGGACACTGAAGGAAGAAATCAGCAACCCCAAGTCCCAACACAAATCAAAAAGAGTTTGTATCTGGCAGTCAGGAAGTTACTGAATCTTTTCTTAGCAAACCAGATATGAACCTTTAGTTAGCAAACCACAAACTGATTTCCTTGTGTGTATTTTAATCTATGATAAAGCAAAATCAGTTTATAACTATTTAGAATTATAGATCAAGGAGGCCATTGAAAACTTTCTACTAAGCTAAGGCCATTTTGATTTTATAATTCAAGATGTGCAGGGTATAATTATTCTCATTAGTGTTTTATTGTAATGAATGCAAAAAACCTATTACACAGTTACAAGAGTTTTCATGGTTCCCTTGTGACCTCAATCACATTACTTCTTTTCCCCTCGGTGCTAACTTGCTCAGCCTCAAAATTTCCTGCCTTTGGGATTTGGCAATATGACCCGTGTGGTTAAAAAGGAAATCCTGGATTCCCTGCATTCGTGTTCACTCCACTGCTCTCCCCTTCTCCACTGCACAAACGGTGTCTACAATGGGAAAGGGCAACACTTGGCTCTTAACCTTTAAAACTGCTTTATCAGTAGGATTAGTTAAGTATCCTAAAAAAGTCTATAAAAGTTCTAAACCTAACCAGCTGGGTAGTCATGCTGGAAACAGGCAAAGGTATAGAAAAAAGATGAGAATATAAAATGGAGAAAGATTATTTCCAATACTGATATATTTTCCATTAAAAAAAAAAACTTCTCATATCTCAGGTAGTATATCCAATTTATTTTCGGCAAGCTCTAGCTCTGCCTGAAAATTTGTACCAATATTTAAACACACATCAATTGATAGTAACATCTAGCCACTTTGATATTACTATAAGATTGATTTTGCTCCCTTAATGAAAATCAGATACAAATCACGACTGGATGTATCCATCACACCCAATGGCTGTGAAGCAGTCACAGTGTAGCAAATGTCAAGACTCTTTTGTCATTACAGAACCAGTTACAGTGATCATGATGAAGTAAGACAGGAAAAATAATTGCATGCAAAAATGCAAATTAGTAATTTTAAAGAAAGCACTCTTAAATTTCTAAAGTTTATATTAAAGTGTCAAAAACATCTAGCCTAAATGTTTGTGCAAAAGTGGAGAATGCGTTAAAGATACTCTGGTGACACATTCCAAAAATGAATGACTTTTCTTGGTAAGTGGTTAATGACTAGTACCTCCGTCATCAGATGGTCTTGTGAGCTCACTGCTGCACGAAAAGCTAGGATAAATCTCGGAGATTTCTGACTTGTCATCCCCCAGACCTGTACCAAAAGTACTGCTGGAATGAGACCGAGACCGCTGTCTCCTATAGTGACTTGCCTTTTCTATATCGGAGGGAAAATATTCATATTTGAGTTTAAGTGACTTGAAGAACCATGACAACAATTACTCAAAAGCTTAACAGGGAAAGGAAATACTCCCTAACTAAATAATAGTCAAAATCCCCTTCATTATCAGATTCTTCTAGTCATCTATTCTCTAACTTCAGCATGTATTACATCAACTCCACAAATAACCTAAAGACTATTTAGACTCATTTAAAAATCTAGATTTTAAAGGAGAGATGGGGGATGAGAAATTGACAAAAACTAAGAAAACACTGACAAACCAATAGATTTCTAGAAAACATTTGCTTATAATTGACTGCTTTCAAGCATTAGTAAGTACACAGGATTTGTTGCCTTTTTTTTCTTTTCAGAAAATTAAATGACACAGTTTGACTAAGTAGGCAGATTAAATTAACAATAAAAGTATTAGAGTCCCCACTGTGCCTTGGGCATTCAATCCGATTAACACCGATAATTAAATATACTGTAGATATCAGAAGGAGGTACAAGATCTAAATGATACGACATGATATGAATCTATAGTATTGGATTGTTTAAAATAACTGCAGAGCTGTTAAAGTTTTTTCCGATTGTATTGGATAAACATGATCTGAAAGTCTGAAATGTTAAATCATGTTGTCACTCTATCTAAACCATTCCTTTTTTGCCTTTCACTATAAACACACACTCTAAGTTAAAAACTCAAATAAGCTTTCTATGTATACTACTCATTTTTCCCTATATAAAAACTCAGATAAATTTTAAGGATACTTAAATCCCTATTTTATTTTAAGACATTTATGATACTACACAGAAAACGTCTACATAATTCTATGCATAATTCTTCGGATTTACTCTTAAATTTTGTAGTAAGTCTATTTCATGAAACAAAACCCTTTATGTCTCAACAATCCAAAAAACTGTATTTATAAACCCAGAAAGTCCATCAAATCATATTTATTAATAAAAAAAACCACATGTAAGCTGGAGACGACTTTTTAAAATGAATGTAGAACAAACTACTTTAGGATTTCTTTTTTTTTTTTTAAGCCCTTTTGCAAGTTTTGTTTTCATACATGATTAATAGTACTTTAAAGCAGCATGGCACTTTTTCAGTGTTTCGAATTCTCAACTTTGAAATGTACATTGCACAGTTGGTACAATGAATGTCTACAGTTCACAGCAGCTTCTCTTTCAGGACAAAAATCTCATCAGTGGGGAGGAACTCAAAATGCAAGCAATACCAGACAGCATGTGGAGACTTCTAGACTGGATATTGTCCTCCAGAGGGTCAATGTCGAAGATGGAGCCAGGATCTGTGCGCCAAACTTTGAGATCTTTACCGACAGGAAGAAATCAACAAACAAGGAGGAATGTTTAAAAGCCAGCACCAGAGTGAATCAAGCAAAAGCCTGGAAGGAAGGTATGTGAAATGCAAAGGGGCACCGAGCAAACCCGCTGTGCTACAGGCCTCAGAGGAGAACCAGAGAATATTCACTTGCTTTCAGAAGTACCTGCAAAGACACTCCAGTAATCAAATTCAGTAGCCTGACTGCTTCACCAGTCACTTGCTGATGCACCTGCCACATCACACAATGCAGGTGCCCAGAGGGCAACTCTATGCAGCGCTCATGGCATCTCCTGAACTCCCATAGCACTCCTGCTCTCCCCACACAGAAAGAAGCAAAATATTTGAAGTCCCTGGTGAAAGACATGGGAGTCACTCATGGGAAACTGATGAGATGTTTTTGTTTAAAACATGTAAATCTTCTCTCCCTGTAAGAACATATTTGAAATGTAGGCAAGTGGCAAGGCTGGTTTTCACTTTGTTTTTTTTTTTTTTTTTTTTAAGATTTATTTTATTTATTTGATAGACAGAGTTACAGAGAGAGGCAGAGGCAGAGAGAGAGGTCTTCCATCTGCTGGTTCACTCCCCAGATGGCGGCAACAGCTGGAGCTGCGCTGATCTGAAGCCAGGAACCAGGTGCTTCCTCCTGGTCTCCCATGTGGGTGCAGGGGCCCAAGGACTTGGGCCATCTTCTACTGCTTTCCCAGGCCATAGCAGAGAGCTGGATCGGAAGAACAGCCGGGACTAGAAACGGCACCCATATGGGATGCCAGCACTTCAGGCCAGGGCTTTAACCTGCTGCACCACAGCGCTGGCCCCTGGTTTTCATTTTGAGTCTATGAGTGCAAACTAAAGCATGAAAGATACATTCACTGGCGCCAGTGCTGTGGTGTAGTAGGCTAAGTCTCTGGCCTGCAGCACTGGCATCCCATATGGGTGCAGGTTCGTGGAAGATGGCCCAAGTTCTTGGGTTCCTGCACCCATGTGAGAGACCCAGAAAAAGCCCTTGGCTCTTGGTTTTGGATCTGCTCAGCTCTTTCCGTTGTGGCCATTTGGAGAGTGAACCAGAGAATGGAAGACCTCTTCTCTCTCTCTCTCTCTCTCCCTCTGTCTATAACTCTCTCTCTCAAATAAATTTTTTTTTAAAAAGATACATTCATCAGAAAAGTGCTAGACATACGGCAGAAAGAAAGCTGAATGGAAATAATTAATGAGTAAACTGGTCTTGGAGATTTGTGTTTCTTTTTAATTAACATTATGTAGTGCTTACCATAGGCCAGTCACAGCCTAACTCATTGAAGCTTCAGGGAAGATCAGCAAAGCTATCCACTGCCTACAAACATGTTTGGAATCATACCTTGGAAGACACTCTAGGAGTCATCTTAGTAACCATCCAACGCGGTGCCTTGGCTTTAGTGCCCCATTTTTTACTAGGGTGCACCTTGTGAAGTATAAACTTTTCTCACCTAACACTACTGCCACAAAATAGGCCCTTACTGCAGATGAAAAAAATCCAACCCTGAAATTACCAAGAGACATATACTTTGGTTATAAAGAACTGAGCTACATAACTGGACCAGCTTTAAAAGCTCAAAGGCTAACTTCTCTGATGGGGACAAAAGTCATAAGAGTTGTTGGTATTTATGTAAAAAGCAGTAACTTTCCTTCTAGCCCTACTGAATTCTGTAGTCTGATCTATTCTATTGTCTTAGCCACATTCAACACTCTCCTCCTGGCATGTCCCCTGACTGATTTATAAGCAACAGAGAGCAGAGAGAGACGGTTTCTCTCTAAATTATGGCTCTCAATTACCCCAGCTCAGAAATAACATACAGAAAAATACAGGGGAGTCATACTACACAATACCCTCAGAATCTGTCCAGCATGTCTGCCTGTGGTAACAGGACCTGAGCACGACGTGGTTATTACTATCACCCCTGCATCCAATGTCCAAGTATAACACTTTAATCAAGTCCATGAGCTAAGAGGAAACAAAATAAGTGTTCAACCACTGTGATCACCCATGTCTGGGGCGGCTTCTTTAACGAGTAGGAACATTTTTAACACCTGAAAGCCACTGAAGACAGACAACTTCCAATAAGAGAAAGGATCTGCCACCATATTTGGTGACTCCCATTCAACATGGTACAAAAATAACACTCTGCCTGCTGTCCACTTAAGTCTGACAGCACATCCACATCTGAGGAGGAGTCAGAGGAACAAGGAGGCTGACTCTAGGCCTGAGCAAGCATAGGCGCTGGAGCATGAGCTTACCCACGATGATCCCAGGTCTCCTGTCCATCTCCACCACGTGCGGGTGGACACCTTTGTAGGCAGTGTCACTGACCACCTGCGTGTTCTTCCTCACCCGCTCTGTCACGGGGTCATCCACCACAGGAGTGAAGCCCCTTCCCTTTGTCTTTTCAAAGTCTTCATGATATTTCACCTGGAAAAGAAAAATCAACATCAACTCAAAAGGAAATTTTCTATCTCACAAACTTCCAAGAAAATGGCAGGTGTCACTGTATTAATAGTTAATTCTGGATTATTTTCGACATACGTGTGTCTTTTCCAATTACTCTGAAAACAGTGCTGGAATCCAGTGCTGATATTTTCGAATCACATAATTGATCCCTGAGGTTGGTATGTTTTTAAACAACATATGAACTTATATTAATGAAAAGTTTTAAAATGTAAGTATTTTACAATTCTAGCTACTTCCTAAAGTATACTAATTTAACTGAAAAATAGTTCCCTGTCTTAAACAGTTCAACATGTGATAAAGTAATTAGCTATTTCCACACACTTATGCAGAAAACAGTATTATTTACAATTAGATTGAGAGTTACGGATGAGAGACATATAATTTTGTGGTTAATTACAAAAACATGTTTCAAAACATACATTTTTTTCATGTTCTGAAATTCAGTTGGTGTGACAGTTGTAGAACTCTGTAAATTATACTAGCAACCATTGAACTGAATACCTTAAATGAATTAAATTTATGGTAGGTTAAATATACCTCATAAAACCGGTTTTAGAAAACATATTTTCTTTCACATCACTTACACATGCAAACACAACCAAACTCCATCTTCAAATGAACTGAAAAGAAGTTTAAGCAAAAGTTTCACACAAAATCCATATGTAGTACTCTGGTTAGAAATAAGCACACACCAAAAAAAGCCTCTGAGGAAAATTATTTTTATTAGACTAAGTATTTTCATGGCATTTCAGTGTGATTAGCACACCCCCACCCCCAGAAGACGGGTCCATCCATATTTCCATGCTTTGTTAGTCATCCAGATTAACAGTGAGCAGATGCCGCCGGCACACGGGATTGTGTCGTTCCTTAGTATGCTTTAGTCATGAGCAGATAACGTGGCTGTACCCTACCATGGAGATATGGTTCTGGGCTTCTTTCACATGTCTCAGACCAGGTGTATCTAAAATCAGACTTGGTCTACCTTTCATCTGTTTACGATCCTGGGTGTATTTTACCTGCAGAATGAACAACAGGCACGACAATTATTTAAGCTTTCCAAAATAAGGGAAACATGGGAAACACTAAAAACTATTCCCCAGATAACTTTTTCAGTGAATTACATTGTGTCCCAGAATTGCAACCTAAAGTTTGACTCTCAAAGAATCTCCTTTACAGGCTATTAGAAAAATGACCTAAATCTCTCCTGAAAACTAGTATGTGAGAGACAAATAATTCAACAACAGTGCGCTCAGCAAAATCGGGTTTCATGCTTAAACGGGGAAAATCCAAAACTAAACAGAACCCAAATCTATTCTCTGTATCTAAATGTCTCCATTTCCTGCCTTAACTATGTTGGAGGCTACCCTTCATTTCCTTTTGTTTCTTTCCTCTTCAGAGAATCATGAACAACCAAAAACAAATCCAGTTTTCCTTCTAAGTAGCCACGGATTAAAGGTAACTTAGATTGAATGCATTCAGTATCTCTGGACAGAAATGCTACTGGACAGCTGTCAACTATGAAGCCTAAATGATGATACCCTGGCCCAGAGCTCCTCAAGGCGTGCTGGAAACGGGGCTGTATTCCTGACAGCTGACTGGCTGAGCTGGTGACGTGTAAGCTTAGGATACCACTTACCACAGACCTGAGAGTGTATGTGCAATTCAGAAGGGAAGCCCTGCGCTGAAGCTTATTGTCCAAACAAGAGACAGACGTGCACCAGGACACTTCCATAAGCACCTAAATTCCGTATTAGATGTACCTGGATGTGTTTTTTCTTATAAGTCCTTACTTTGGATTAATGACTCATTTCCCATTTAGTTTGGTAAAGAGGATTAACAATACATGCTCAATATAATTTATCAGTAAAATAGCAATTTGTTCAGCTTGCACATCAAAGACTTTATCACTTTCAAAAACACTGGTAGAAATAACATGAATTATTGTCTAAGTGAACAAACGATCATTCAAAGGTAAACTTTAACTGTCAGCCACTTCTGGGCATAGCAGGACACTGTCAATTTCTATGGTGGCAGCTTTTGGGAGTCATCTAAGATAAGCTTGGACTCATGAGAAACCTCACAAATGGTTCCTGAAAATCAACTTTATTGTTACAAGAAAAACTAGAACTACAAGTGAATAAAAAAGGACACATCTATTCTGGTAGTCCAAAATGAATTAAACCACTTGCCGAGCTGATGTTTTCTTGATTCTTCTTTACCCTCTCCATTTCGGGAGTTACACTTAAAGCAGTAGCTCTGCCCAGCTGACCTTTATAATAAACCTGGCATGTCAGAGAAGAAAAGATAGAGCACTGTGAACCAATTCAACTAAAGAAGAGTCTCATAGTATTTATTTGAGTTAGCCAGAGGGGCTGGCATTGTGGTATAATGCATTAAGCCACTGCCTGTGACGCTGGCATCCCATACGGGTACTGATTCAAATCCCAGCTTCTCCACTTCCAATCCAGCTCCCTGCTAATGAGCCTGGGAAAGCACAGAAAGATGGCCCAAGTGTCTGGGCCCCAGCACCCATATGGGAGAACTGGATGAAGCTCCTGGCTCCTGGCTTTGGCCTGGCCCAGCCATAGCTGTCGTGGTCATTCAGGGAGTGAACTAACAGACTGAAGACCTCTCTCTCTCTGACTTTCAAATAAATAAAATAAATCTTTAAAAAAAGAGCTAAGGAAGCAGAACTATAACAAAAGAGAACATTTTCAGAGGACTAGTCACGTTCAAAAATGCCTGCATCTTAAGGCCACATGGTTCATGTCATCCCACAGCTGTGTGTGGTGAGTATCACTGTGGATCTACTCAGATAAAAGGGCACCATCAATAAAGCTAGAGTGAGTGTTAGGTCACAAAGGAATATGAGAAGAAATGCTTTGCAAACACTACTTAAAGGTACCAATGCCCATACAGAATGGTATCACACCCTTGTGACTGCTTAGGAATTGACTGTGGAGGAGCCTTGAGAGGCAGTTTTGACACAGAAGCCCACAGTCATCCATAAAAAGGCCAGCACACTTGCCACTACTCTATTCCTCTGTCCCATAGCCATGCTCCTTTGTGAGCCACAAGTCCAGTGTGACTCTATATCTACATCCATAAACGAACATCCAACTTCTCCAAAGAGAAGCTGTGAAGAGAAGGACCAAGTGATTACCTGCCTGGACCTTATAAACTGTTCAAAGGACTTTAAGGGTTTAGAGAATAAACACTTGCTTTAAACGTAATAGATTTCCAAATTTCCTGTTCCAAAGGACCCAATCTATATGTTAATGACTTCAGGAAAGGGTTCTCACTGTGAATTGCCTCCTGGATTATAGAAACAAAAGGGAATCAGAGCAGGCTACCAGTTAGTGTCTAAGTAAAAACTGCCAGCCCCTAATCAAGTGTCCCTAAATTGGCCCTGTCCTGTATGACCTAGTCAGTCATGCGCACCTTATCACTTCTCTCAGAACACTGTCCCCAAATAGAGTCATTATCGCTGGAGCTGAGAGGTAGGACTGGGGGAGGATGGAGAACAAGAAGACACACAGGGAGAAAAGGATGTGGGGAAGCCTGTTTGCACGGCCAAGATGCCAACGCTATCACCGCTTCCCTGTGGGGAACCCCAGCAACACTCAGCAGGAAGATAAGCTAAGGGGTCCCACAATATGTCCCTGGGAACCCTGCAGGGAGGAGCCCTGACTGTACCCCCACCTAAGACCCAGGAAGCTTTCAACACATCATAAGCCAGTGGAGGAGACTATGAGCTCAAAGTCATGAACATGTTCTAAACAGGAGCCCTTCAGCAATATGTCACCAGCACGCTGGCTGTCGTTAAGAGAAGAGCGGTCGAGGCATCCTACATTGCTGATGTTCTTCTGGTTTTCTTTCACTCTCTTCAGCTCTGGGGGGTCAGAAATTGCAGTCGCCTGCTTGATCTCTCCTTTGTATTTCACCTACCGAGGGAAAATAAGAATTTTAACAGATACCCCCGAGGATAAGCCTCAAAATTAACCCTGTCTCTTTACACACAGCCTGCACAGTGGATCTGCATCAACCTTTCTGTTCTGATCCACACCCAGGTTCCCAGTGGTCTGATGTACAGCAACAAAGGGTTGGCTGTACTGCTTAAAAAGGAGTCTTCAAGGAATACTTCGCTGCTCAATGTCAAATTGAAGTGCAAATCCCACAGAGAGAAGAAATGGAAATACGAAGAAGCATGCTTTAAGAGACACTGGAACAAAGTCAGGCCAAAGGACTCAAATGAAGGTAATGGAGCAGCCTGGGAAGGCTTTTGACTCTCATTCCAACTCTGGGTTTCCACCCGAACAGATGCCAAAGATCTCTGACTCCTGCTACCACCCAGGGATATCAGGACAAACTGTGTTGAGTCAGATACTCTCCATTTGAGAGAATTTCCTCTGAAATTTTAGTCTTTCAAAATGGTCTGTTTGGGCAGAAGGTGGCCACTGCTTATATTAGTAAAAGTTCCCTAAAAGGATCACAAAGTCAGAAAAATCACTACTTGGGGGGGCACCTAAAGCATGAACACAGAGTGCGGCAGAGTAGCGGTGCCTCATAATTGTCAAATATTGCTTCTTTATTTGCAACAGATTACCGAACGATTGATGCTTCGCATTTTATTTGTGAGGCTCTTAGAGGAGTAAATGAGTAGTGCTCGACCCATGGGTTCACAAAAACATGAACACAGAGTGCGGCAGAGTAGCGGTGACTCATAATTGTCAACTATTGCTTCTTTATTAGCAACAGATTACCGAACAATTGATGCTTTGCATTTTATTTGTGAGGCTCCATGGCCTGACACTAGAATGTCAATCTAGCCAGTTCTCCTCTTGCTCTATTTCAATAGATGTTATTTCCCCCCAACTCTGATTGACAATAGACCCCATTGCTTTCCATATTCCTAATTGGATGTATTATTAACAACTTACTAACTAAACCATGAGGCCCATGAGGAAAGACAGTCAGCCTTATCCATCATTATATCCCAGTGACCAGGAAGATGGTGCCCAAAATATTCAGGTGTTTAATAAAGATCTCTTGAATAGACCAACATGACTACATTACAGCAACCCAGTTCCAAACGGCCTGGACTCAAGTGAAAGGGCCACAGTTCATGTGCAACTGAACGTAGACAGGAAAATCCCAATAGGTAGAAGTGGAAAGACCTTGACAGAGCATTTTTAAAAATAAAAGCATGTAATGTTTGACAGAACATAAAAAAAAAAAAAAAAAGCAACTTGCCGCGCTCAGCTGCTCCTGGTTCTTCCTCACTCTCTCCATCTCTGGGGTCATGCTGACTGGAGTGGCCTTATAATTCTGCTCTTTATACTGAAGCTGCAAGATAGGGTGTAAGACATGTTGGGGTTATGGGACATAAATGTGTACCCACACATCAGAACAGACAAAAAGCAATGTCACGTGGCTACAGACCGCTCATTATAAAACCTGCCTTGGGATTTTATAGTAGGATATGTATTGCTCATAGATTTCATCTTCCCAGGGATACCAGTCTCTGAGCTCCTCCTCATCAAATGCTGTATTTCCTAGCTTTCACTTTATTCTTAGAATTGTATTACTTATTGGTGGCCTCTTTGAGTTTGATCTTATCAGTAGGAACGAGTTATTCTTCCCAGGAATTCATTTCTTCGTGGCACTAAAGCAATGATTATCAAATTACCACTTTGTATTTTAACATCATAATTCTGGACTCTTACCAATGGGTAGGAGGGTCACACCAATCCTACGCCTGCCCTTTTACACTGCCAGTACGTAAAGAAAGCCTAATCCTCAGAGTTCCCTTCTCTTTGAAGTTCCAACACTGGAAGGGGAAGGCTTGCTCTCTGACCCCATGGTATGGACATTTGCCTGACCTACTGCATAGGGCATGGGGCGTCCTTTCTGAGCTGGGGGGCTCAGCCCCATCGTTTGTAACATCAGCTTTCCCAGTGAGGTCACAACACCCCAGGAAGTGGATAAGCATCAGACACAGGGACAGAATGGCTCATTGTGGCAAAAAAAATCAATTTTGGGCAGGTCAAAGTAGAGCTAGAGGTTAAAATCCCATTGTGAGGAACTCCACAGTGACAGCCTTAATAATGATTTTCTTGGAGTTTAAATTTACCATTGGGGGATTTTCTTTTACAAGGTAGCACAAGACCCAAGTGGGCCTGCAGAGAATATGGACTTGAAATGTACACCCCTGGTGGTGAACATCAAAGTGAGCCTGGAAGATAAATGGAAAAAGGTCGAGCTCCTTCCCACGCGGCCTCTTTCCCCATGTGCCACTCTATGCCATGGAATGTGGCTTGAGACTTTAGGCAGATTCTTGTGACCGGATGATTGCTAAAGTAAGTAAAGAATCAGCTTAATCTCCGTCGATGGCAACCTACAAGGAAAGCTGACCCTGAGCTCAGAGGGGAAGAATATGTTGACAGCATGGCTGACAGAGAGAAACTACTGCAGTCCATTCTTTGGCATGCCTAAGTTTGAAGAATAAATTTGATACGAAGAATCTTCACAGCCTGTTTATATTGATCCATTCACAAACATGCTGTGTATATTATAGGCAATATCTCATTGAAAACTGGACTCTGTGAGGAAATGCAGGCTTAGAGAGTTTGTGGGCCTATGAACATCATACAGCAAGCAAGGTCTCAAGCTGGAACCAACCCGCAGTGCAGGGACCTCATCCTCACCCTACAGCTGCAATGGTCAACAAATTCCTGCCGCTTGCACAGCACTTTCCATCTACCACACCAGATATACACTATCAGCAACACTGACGTTGCTATTGACAACATGACTTTTTCAGTCCATTACCTCAGCATTATTTTCAAATGTAGTTACTTTACAGGAGGGTTATGTTTCCACCATAAGTTGGCAACTGCCCAGCCCTTCTTTTAGAAGAAGATACACAGCCAAATAACTTAAGCACTAAGTGAAGGACTCACCATGAGTGGACCACCTCACATCTTAAATGCATAATGATCTATGAGGCACACTTTTGGGATTCTGTAGGACTACACACCACTTCTTTATGATTGGTATCACAACTTCCCTCTCCATCAGCACCCCCTGCCACTATTCACTCCAGGTAAGCATCACACTCAAACTTCTCCTTGAACAGGCCTTGCTTGGTTCTGAACCTATTACATACTTATGTATGAGGCAGGAAGACACAGAAAGAGAGATGGCTAAACAGAGAGAAAGAGGAAAAGCCAACACGTACGCCCTGGTTCACTCCCCAAAATGCCCTCAAAGGTCAAGGTTGGGGGTAGGCTGAAGCCAGGAGCCAGAACTCAATCCAGATCTCCAGTGGTGACAGAAACCCCACTACTTGAGCCATGACCACTGCCTCCCGGGGTCTGCATTAGCAGGAAGCTGAAGTCAGGAGCCAAGGTCAGGTTTCAAACCCAAGTCCTTCAATTTGGGATACAGGCATCCTAAACACCTGCCCCAGGATCCTGAACATATTAAATCTGCTCTGTCAGGAATGCTTTTCCTCACAAAATCTACACCAGACCTTGATTAGTTCTTCAATATCTAACTCCACTGTTACTCCTTCTCCAAGGCTGTTCCTCTCTCCCCTGGAGAAAGCCTTCCTTCTCTGGGTTCCCTACTGTAATATATTCAAAAAGCATAGTAAACATGCAACAGTTAATTATTGTTATAGAACTTAATAATGCATAAGATATTTATTCCGATGTTTGCATCTCCTAGGCTTCCTAACCTTACAGTGTATCTCACACATCTTTGAATTCTCTCAAAAACAAAAACAGCACATCCATTCATACATTTCTTTTATCAATAAACATACACAAAGCTTTGGGCTATGTGTCCCAGAGGACATCAGATGTGTGTACCAGATGTGTGGAGTGTCATCTCCATGTTCGAGGATCTGACCCTCTTGCAACGGTATTCATGAAATGGGGCTTTACCTGTACAGGTGTCATGCTCTCTTTATGTATTTTATATAACAGAAGAGAAAAAAATACTTAGGAAATAAAATCACATTGCTGATGTTCTTCTGGTTTTCTTTAACTCTCTTTAGCTCTGGAGGGTCAGAAATTGCTGTTGCCTGTTTAATCTCTTCTTTGTATTTCACCTGCACAATTTATAAGAATATTGTGTTAACTTTGGTCTACATAAAGCTTAAAATACTCAAGAATTCTATATTTGGAACTAAACATAATTGAATTTTAAAAATTCCAACACTGCTTTTTCTTCAACAGGATGCATTTTTTTTTTATCTCATCTGATGTTTTCAGGGTTCCTTTATCCTAAAGTACATGCAAATTCATGTCTATTCACCTACCTGTTACTGGAGGTCTTCCTTAATTAAAATAAGCAAATGTTACCAGGAAAAGGAATTTTATCATTATGCAGATGCACAGAAAACTTTGCAAAGTATCTTCACATAGCAGTTTGTTATGTTCTATCTGAGCAGCAGTTTCTATCTACTTGTGTTAATTAAAATTTAACATGTATTTAAAGGCAAAGTCACACTGAATTAGTTACAGAATCTTGGGACCACTCCTTGTCTGAATAAGAGCTCGTAAATTATGCAGAATAAAGAAAACAAATAAAGTGACCACAATAATAATAAAAAAAAAAGACAGAAAAAAAATGGGAGATGGATAGAAATGTACTGGAAGCACAAACTGCCGTAAGAAAGGCGAGGGCCAGAAAGTCGGGAGGCGCCTTCTATGCGCACCGTCCTGTCATGAAAAGCAGCCCTGTGTCCTGGCATCCACTTCATTCCAGAGCGCGCCCTTCAGATTTATTCAGAGGAAGACCCAACACAGAAGCGGTAATAGGCGCACATGGCTCTGCCTGGGACAAGGAGCAGCTCTTTGAGCTTATGTGATCAGTGATGCCATCATTTCAGGTGGATTGTATATGTCTAGAATTCACGGACGTTGCATTTGAGGAAAAGCACACATATATGCAAATATACAGGACAGGCTAGGCCTAAGAGGCACATGTTGAAATGTAGCCAAAGTTTAAAATGACATAAAACACGGTTTCAAAATCATTTCGATAATACTTAAAATGACTTTCTATTTTACATTATTTTTAAAAATTTCAACAGATATAAAAATAGCACATGTTCACAGGGCACTTCGTAATGTTTCATTACAAAGCCAAAATCACGCTGTCATCAAGAAGCTACCTCAGTGCCTCAGGTACCTTCTCTGCCTTATTGTCTGTGGATTTAATATGAGCAACAATGTCAATATTAGTCCAGGCCCACAATAGTTAAACTGAAAGTTCACTGAGAAAGGCTACTTCTAAATAAAATTGAAAACCAGTTCTTAACACAGAGAGCTAATAGCTAAAAGGCTTGTACCCTGGAGACAGAAAATGTCGAGATGTTTAAATGTTAGAAAATCATATCTTGGTTTGACAGATCTGGCTAATCTTGAAAGGGCAAGTTTCCATTTGAATACTAAGCAGGAGTTTACGGCCCAGCCTCACAGAGACACTGGGACTCTGCATTTATTGTTTGTTAGGAGAGGCTTTGGGATGCTGGGAGAAGAAATGATATACTGTACTACCTCATGTGATTTTCCTCGGGTGAAGAGCAAAACATGATTAGAAAGGAACATTTTTGTTTTTCATTGCACTCGAAACTCATCAAATGGCACAGTCACTTCACTGTAGGCTACAGAGCATTTACAACATTTATCGCAGTACCCGGATGGGCACACTTCCTGTCTTCCCACCTGAAAGCGGAGCAAACCGGCATGCTGCACTTCTCTCCCAAACCAGCTTCTCCTGCAGACCCAAGCGAGCCCACCCCTCCCGACGCCCCCTCCCCTTCTCCCGCCTCCGGTCCTTTTCCCCAGCTTTCTGCAGGAGATAGCGTTATCCAGCCGCTGCACAGACTTTATTGGCCTGGTCTCCCTCAGACTTTTTCTCATTTCATTTCGAAGCGTGTTTTATTACAGCACCACCTTCCTCTCCTACTCGCTCCCCACACACATGAGCTCATGTTCTCAGAATGCCACAAAAGGACCAGCTGCATCTCGGCGGTTCTACTTGGATTGCTTATAGAAAAGTTCTGGGAGGTTCTGTCTCCAGGGGAAATGAAGAGAGAAGTAAGGGAAGGGGGTTTAAGGACAGAACCTCCTTTTTAAAATTTACTTCCTTGACAAAAAAAAAAAAAAAAAAACTAATATACTAAATGTATATGGAACATTACCTACTGGTAAGGACAGCAATTATTCATCATAAATGTTCTGGGACTTTGGGCCGGCGCCGCGGCTCACTAGGCTAATCCTCCGCCTAGCGGCGCCAGCACACCGGGTTCTAGTCCCGGTCGGGGCGCCGGATTCTGTCCCGGTTGCCCCTCTTCCAGGCCAGCTCTCTGCTGTGGCCAGGGAGTGCAGTGGAGGATGGCCCAGGTGCTTGGGCCCTGCACCCCATGGGAGACCAGGAAAAGCACCTGGCTCCTGGCTCCTGCCATCGGATCAGCGCGGTGCGCCGGCCGCAGCGCGCCGGCCGCGGTGGCCATTGGAGGGTGAACCAACGGCAAAAGGAAGACCTTTCTCTCTGTCTCTCTCTCTCTCACTGTCCACTCTGCCTGTCAAAAAAAAAAAAAAAATGTTCTGGGACTTTTATAACCATTCTATAAAGTAAAAATTTCTTTCCTCCAAGTTGTAGAGAGGTTCTAAAATGTATTCTTTCTCTGAAATATTCATACAGCTAAAATTCTGTGCAAAAAGATGAAATGTAGTCCTAGATTTCCTGTGATCTCTCGCTTCTTCACCATGATGTATCAGAATGAAATGGTGATTTAAGTTCAATGAGAACAAGGATACACTTTTCATTCTGAAAGTCAGACGTTGATATTTGATCAAACAGCAGTACACTCAAGCGAAGAAGGAAAGAAAAATGCAGTCAGTTAAGGAATGAACTACAAACATTTACCAAGCTTGTGTCTGCTTTTAGAAAGCATAACTGATGCTATAGAAAACTTACTGAGCTAATATTCTGCTGATTTTTCTTCACTCGCTCCATCTCTGGCGTGTCTGTTACTGCTGTGCCGGCTCCCACTTCTTTCTTATAAAATACCTTTATGATAAGACAAAGAAAATAACTATAAGCGTATTAGAATTCAAGTCCTAGATCTGATTCTTATAAAAGAAAGACAATTTCTCAGGTCTTATAGTGATAAGAGCACTGCTTCTACTTATGAGGAGTAACATTATATGAGTCATATGACAATAAGTGTGCAACTTTGGTCTCACATGCCATGGTCATACTAATAACCCTCTGATGCCTGTTCTAGAGCATGGCTGGTATCCTGCCTGGCTGCAAATTATTTGCTTTAATTATATAAGTTAGTAAAGTAGAATTTCATTCATCAAATAAAAATATATGTTAAAGACATGTATGAGACGCCATGGCTCACTAGGCTAATCTTCCGCCTTGTGGCGCTGGCACACTGGGTTCTAGTCCCGGTCAGGGCACCGGATTCTGTCCCGGTTGCCCCTCTTCCAGGCCAGCTCTCTGCTGTGGCCAGGGAGTGCAATGGAGGATGGCCCAAGTGCTTGGGCCCTGCACCGCATGGGAGACCAGGAAAAGCACCTGGCTCCTGGCTCCTGCCATCGGATCAGCGCGGTGCGCCGGCCGTGGCAGCCATTGGAGGGTGAACCAACGGCAAAGGAAGACCTTTCTCTCTGTCTCTCTCTCTCTCACTGTCCACTCTGCCTGTCAAAATAAATAAATAAATAAATAAATAGACATGAGAAAAATCAAAACACATACTACCAAAGCTCCCTAAGCAGTTCCATTTTGTTCAAAAGCAGCATGAAATGTTAAACAATTACTATTCTCCAAATACCAAGATGCTCTTGTGCTTTTCAGACAACATCAGCTCTGCCATCCACATTGGTTCCATCTATTTTCTTCCACTTCCACTGACTTATTAACCTTCCTACCTATCTTTCTGTGTTTTTCAGCATCTGCCCTTTCCAAACACAAAGAAAACAAAAAGTGCTCTGCAGAAAGACAGAGTGACCACAAGACAGACACAGGAGGACAGAACCCCTTGACGTGTGGGCGCCATTGTGGGTGGGAGAGTACAGTATGACAGGTGCTTTCCTCCGCAAGCTAGAAATCCAGACTACTGCGGACTTGTTGGAGTCCTGGGCAAAACAGCCTCTTCCCCTGATCCAGTCAGTGAGATTTTCCCTTTCTGAGCATAGCCTGACCCTCTCCCCAGAGCCCCCGAGGCTCCTGACCAGCACACCTTGAGAGCCAGAGCTTGCCAAGTAATTAGGAATTGGAAAATATTCCAGAAGTCCTCAAACTTAATAGTTCATACATTTTGATGAGACATTTGCTTAACTACTAAATAACTCAGATAATTCTCCATTACTATATTGGCTGTGTAGCCAATTTTTTTTATGATTTTAGAAGAGAATTCAAGTTTACACATCCACTAACCATAGGCTCAGTCTCTTAATTAATGATGCTGATGAGATTTCTACTCTGCAAAACAAAAATATAAACTTTTAGGAATTGGTTATGAACTAGTAATCCCTAGATATACTATCCATGTAAATAAGCAATTATCGGGAAAGAAATTACTTCATATGACTACTGTCATCTTCAGAGAAAAATCTGGTAGAAGATTGGGATTTCTTTTCTGATCTCGAGTTGGGTGTTTGGCCAAGTGGCTAAGATGACCACATCTGACATGGTAGCCCCTGAGTTCAATTTCCTCCTCCAGCTCCTGACTCCAGTTTACTACTAATACAGACCATGGGAGACAGCAGTGATAGCTCAAGTAATCGGGTTTCTGACACCCACATGGGAGACCTGGATTTCATTCCTGGCTCCCAGCTCTGGCTTTGGCTTCAGTCCAGCCCCAATCATTGTGGGTATTAGAGGAGTGAACCACTAGCTGGGAGCTAGTTCCCTCTCTTTTTCTAACTCTGTGCCTCTCAAATAAATGTTTTTAAAAAGATTATTTCTTGAGTTCAATTTTTAAATTCAGTATCAAAAAGAGGAAAATGTGAACTTGTAATTATAAAGCAATCATGATAAATTATAACTTATGATAATATTTCATACTTTTATTTTGAATGCAAATAATCAATTCAACAGAAAATGCAAGTAATGCAATCAACAGTGAGACAGTGACAGTAAAGGCCATTGCTAACACAACATAAAATTTCAAAGAGTAATTGAAAAGAAATATAGATCGAATAACCCTAACCAAAAAAATCTGAAATTCATAATGCTCCAAAACATGAAAATTTTTGAGCACTAACATGATGCCCAAGTGGACAATTCCACACCTACACATGGAATTCTTGGGTCACAGTCAGAAGGCAGGAACACTGAAAATATTGCATACAAGTACTTCCTGAAACTCACCGCACTAATATTTTGTTGAGTGGTCTTGATTCGCTGCATTTCAGGAGTATTTGCTGCAGTGGAATAATTAGAGAGCATTTTCTCCGCTTCATCTTTATACTTTTTCTAAAAGACACAAGCAGTCAATATGAAGCTGAAGCTCTGTGTGTATGTGTTATAAAACACACATACAGATAGAGAAAGATGCCACATCCTCCAAGTCTACCAAACTGCATGGCTCTAAATCATAGCTTTAAAAATACTTATTATATATTTCAAATTTTCCAAACAAAAATTGTGAGGTAGTAATACAAAGAGTTCCCATATAACAGCCTTCACCCCATTTCCCCTATTAACATCCCCTACTAGTATCTTGGTCACACATAATAAGCCACACTCAGGTTCACCTTATTTTATTAATACAAAAACCTTTTCTCCCTCCAAGTTTCCAGTAGTCAACACTTTGTGTTCAGACTGAGGGTTTTTTTTTTTTTTTTGTTTTTTTTTTTTTTTTTTTTTTTTTTTTTTAATTTTAGCTCCCACATATAAGGGAGAACATGCAGTGTTTGTCTTTCTGTGTCTGGCTTATTTCACACAATATGATGTCCTCCAGTTCCATCCATTTTGCTGCAAATGACAGGATTCCATACTTATTTATGTAGCTGAACAACATCCCATAGTATATATATTTTTTCTTTATCCATTCACCTGATGATGGACACCTTGGTTGAGTCCATATTTTCACTGTTGTGAAGACTGCTGCTATAAACATGGTGGCACATGTGTCTTTTTGATACAAGGAGTTCCTGCCTTTTGGGTGTATTCCCAGTAGTGGGATTGTTGGATCACATAGCTCTTCCATTTCTAGTTTTTTTTTTTTTCATTCTTATTTTATTCCATTACTATTTTGTTCTGTTGGGATTCATTATTTCCCATGTATATTTTCCCATGTGTAAATTTACAGCAAGGATATTATCCACTAATGAATATCTTTGTCCAAGTTAGATTTTATAAATAACTTCTTCCTCCATATTTTCTTTTGTGACGACTATTTCTCTCATATGCAGTTTTTGTAGAGGGTATGTGACAAGTATACTTTACATTTTAAGAAAACATAGCTCTGCCCTTATTTTTAATTAAGATTAATTCTCATCTGATATGCAGGACAGTGTTGGCCACTATTGTTTCATGTAGAGAGAATTTTAATAATCATAAATCTTATGAAATAAAAAGTTAAAAGTCAAATCTTTGGAATAATTTTTTCTGGAGTATCAGCAAGAGAAATTCAAGCCAAGTGTGCAATCTGTGGTCAAAATGTCCACGATTCAAAACAAGGGGTACCACAAACAGGAGGGACTCTGGCATTTCATAACACCCACTGAATTGAATCTACAACCACATTCCTTTTAGTTAGTAAGGTTAATCAAATTTGGCCCCCAGTTTGTTAACAACAGAGTGAACTAACTTTAAATGCCAACACCATCAAAAATATACAAATCATAGAAACACACCAAACGTGATGAGGGGACATTTGAATTGATCATCTTCACTCCACCAACCTGGCTATAGATTTCAGATGCCCTCTTGGCTCGAAGCATATCTGGGATGTCCATGCTCACTTGCATGCCTTTCCCCTTAATTTCATTTTCTAAGTCCTTCTTATATTGTTTCTAAAAAAGAGAAAATGATCTCAGAGCTCTGCTTAACTTTGATAGCAATTAAGACATTATGTGTCTGAATATGGATGCCACCCATGTGAATAGTAACATTGATTCTTTCTAGACACAACCCAGTGTATCATTGTAAACTCTGTATCCCACTACCCCCTTACCTGGCTGGCCATCTGCGATGCTCTCTTAGCCCGCTGCACGTCAAGAGTGTCCGTGCTGACCTGCATTCCTTTCCCTTTGATCTCAGTCTCCAGGTCTCGTTTATAGTCTTTCTACAGAAAATGAAACACAGAGTGAGAGCTCTAAAACCATTAGGAAAACTGCACTGAAACTCTGTGACATGATGTTGCTATCAGGGCCACGTAATTTGCCATTAAGTTGTGCTTTTATTTCTTTAGCACAAGAAGGAAATTTTACTTGGGAAAGGAACATGACTTGGAATGATTTATTCACAAGTCAATGGGAGGTGTTTTTCTACTAATATGAATTAAGAACGGAAACAGCCAGTTGGTAGAAAATTTTGTATTTCCATTTGGTAAACTTGATAAAACTATTGGTTATTAACTAACTCAGTTGAAAATATCAACAAAATATATCTGTAAAAGTGCTGTTTTTTGCTCAAAATATATTTTAAAGGTTTATTTATTTATTTGAAAGTCAGAGTTACACACAGAGAGAAGGAGAGACAGAGAGAGAGAGAGAGGGAGAGGGAGGGAGAGGGAGAGAAAAGGAGAGAGAGGGAGAGAGAGAAAGAGAGAGAAAGAGATCTTCCATCCACTGGTTCACTCCCCACATGGCCACAAAGGCTGGAGCTGCACCAATCCGAAGCCAGGAGCCAGGAGCTTCTTCCAGGCCTCCCGTGTGGGTGCAGGGCCCCAACCACTTGGGTCATCTTCCACTGCTTTCCCAGGCCATGGCAGAGAGCTGGATTGGAAGAGGAGCAGCCGGGACTTGAACCGGCGCCCATATGAGATGCTGGCACTGCAGGCTGAGGCTTTAACTGGCAGCACCGTAGCGCCAGCCCCTCAAAATATATTTTTAAAAGTGTTGTCATTGCTGGTTGATTCACCACATCATTTACCCTTCCTGGTCTCCTTGATTACAGCCAATGGGTACCTCACCGCTCCTTGTTCTAAGCCATTCAGCTGCGGTGAGGTTGGCTTAAATAAATTATTCCAGCCCATCCCCATCCCTGTCATACTGGTTCAGTGGTTCAGGATGGGTACTTTTTCCCCAGAAGATACCAGAGGAGGCTTCCTCTTTCCTTGTGGACACGGATGAAGGATGCAGCCCAGGAGCTGCTGGAAGCCGCTTTGAAAATCAAAGAAGAAAGCCCAGTCTGAGAACTAAAAGTAAATCAGTCACAGGGATGCCCGACTTGAGGATGAGGATGCTTCCTGAGAACCGTGTCGTCGGTGCATTCTGTCCCTGGGCACTCACAGAGCAGCACTTGCACACACACCTGAATGGCCTGGCCTACTGCACTTCTAGGCTGCCTCTGATCTCACCCGTTGCGTCCAGGGGCAAGCCAGAAGCTCTAAATTTGGAAAAATGATAAACAAAGATCTCAGTCTCAGAGAAATCCTGTATTGCTCCCTGTATTCATCTCATGATCCCATCTGCTTTTATTAGACTCTTAGTCTCACTTTCCTAAATAGAAGTTCAAGTAATAATGTTAAACTTTCAGAATAATAACATTCTGTTATTACGGTGTCTCTAAAAACTGCTCTTATTAAACCTGTGTAAAGCCCTGAGACAAAACGTTTCATTGGAAGGACAACGTATGTGGAAACTGAGGCATTGATTGTGGAAGAAGCTTCCAATTGGAAGCTTCCAATTCGAGTTTCAAACACTTGTTAAGATACCAGCTGTGCCAGTTATTTACTATTGTGACACAACAAAATACCACAAAACTCACAGAAGGTTTCAATCAACCACCTGAAGGCACTCACATTCCTAGACGAACCCTTGGGCAAACCCTCCTGCCCAAGTGCCTCTGAACCATGTTCCATAACATCCATTGGCTAAGGAAAGTCCCACAGTCAAACTCTATAGATATAGGAAGGCTTAACTATTTGGGGTCATTAGTGTAACAACATACTACATGGATTGTACCTGAAAAATAAACTTCAAATATTAAAAGCAAACTGACAAACCCATGTGGGAGACCTGGATGGAGCTCCTGGCTCCTGCTTCAGCCTGGCCCAGCCCTGGCCATTGCAGCCATTTGGGGAGTGAACCATCTCTCTCTTTTTTTTTTAAAGATTTATTTTTATTTATTTGAAAGACAGAGTTACAGAGAGAGGCAGAGGCAGAGAGATAGAGGTCTTCCATCTGCTGGTTCACTCCCCAGAAGGCCGCAACAGCCGGAGCTGTGCCGATCGGAAGCCAGGAGCCAGGAGCTTCTTCTGGGTCTCCCACGTGGGTACAGGGGCCCAAGGACTTGGGCCCTCCTCCACTGCTATCCCAGGCCATAGCAGAGAGCTGGATTGGAAGAGGAGCAGCTGGGACTAGAACCAGCACCCATATGGGATGCCAGCGCTTCAGGCCAGGGCTTTAACCCACTGTGCCACAATGCCAGCCCCTCCCTCTCTCTTTGTAACTCTGCCTTTCAAATAAATAAAAAATCATAAACACACACACACAATAAACTGCCAGAATCTTAAACTTTAGCTGAAAAGGATTTGAGAGTCTGACAATTTGGCCAAATGGAACATGATGTGATGACAATTATATGCAAATAAGGTATTTGGATTGCAATGATAATAATAGCATTATCAAAATTGGTTTTGACTACATGTAACCATGATACAGCCAACTCCTCTGTGCGTATTTTCTCTAGGTGCTCAGTAAATAAATTTGCTCTATGTTCCTACTATACAGTCCCAAAGAACACAGAGATCCAAATTAGCATATTATTAGGTAAATAAACCTATTATCATGCTAAGGAAATACCATTAAAACAAGCCAACTTTTCATAAGAAAAGTATGTCTTAGAAGCCTGCTCTTAGGTAAAAGGGTAAAATACAAAATGTTTGTTCTTTTTACATTCCTTTCTCTAGGGAAGCTTTAACTGGTTTCAACTCTCACTCCCATGAGGATTATTTAAAAGAAAATTTTTCTTTATTTATTTTGGAGGCAGAGAAGGGAGGCAGGGAGAGAGAGAAAGTGCATGTTCCCATCCGCTGGTTCACACTCCAAATGCCTACAACAGCTGGGGTTAGGCCAAGGCCAAAATTGGGAGACAAAAACTCAATCCTTGCTGCCTGCCCGGCCTGCATGGGCCAGGAGCTGGAGTCAGGAGCTGGAGCCAAGCATCAAGTCCAAGCACTCTGGTACGGGAGGCAGACATCTTAAATACTAGGCCAAATGCTAACCCAAAGGGTGATTTTTGAAATGTTCTTTAGCCTTAAATTCTATACCCCCTGCTCCAAGGAACCTTAAACTAATACTGGATGCAAACCCTTCATCATCATAAGAAAAATCTTGGAGAACTCAAAGTAGTGATCTGAGGGCGGGGCATTGGCACAGTAAGTCGCTGCTTCGGATGGCCACATCCAGTATCAGAGTGACTGCTTCAAGTTCCACCTCTGCCGCTTCCAACCCCCTTTCCAGCTAACATGCACCCTGGAAGGCACCATATGATGGCTCAAGTACTTGGGTCCATGCCACCCACACAGGAGACCTTGGTTCCTAAATTTGGCCTGGTCTAGCCCTGGCTATTGTGGGCATTTGGGGAATGAAAGAACAAATTAAAGATCTTTGTCTCTCTGCTTTTCAAACAAAATGAAAATGAATAAATAAATAAATATATATATATATATATATATTTTTAAATGTAGTGATTTGAGGCTGGCGTTTGGTGTTAATGGGTCGCCTGCAACTCTGGCATCCCATATGGGTGCTTCTCTTCCTATCCAGCTCCCTGCTAATGGACTGGGGAAAGCAGCAGAAGATGGCCCAAGTACTTGGGCCCCTGTCACCCATGTGGGAGACCTGAATACAGCCCTTGGCTCTGGCCCAGCCCACCCATGGCTGTTGTGTCCATTTGGAGAGTGAACCAGTGGATGGAAGTCTCTCTGTGTGTCTCTCTGTAACCCTAAATTTCAAATAAATAAATAAATAAAAATAAATCTTTTTTTAAAAAAGTGGTGATTTGATAGTTAGTGGGCAGCCAGTCACTTGGAAGCCCAGGGAGAAAGAGCTCACCATGTATGGACATTCAGGAAGACATCAGAGCTGCATGGAGAACCAAAAACCAATGCAGGCACAGGCTGGGGCCTATGGGCCTAGCACATAACAGGGAGAGAGGGGTCGGGCTGGGGCCAGTCATGGCAGCATCCTGGACACCAGAAGAAGTGGTGTGATTTGCTGTGGACATGGGAAACCACTAGGGGCTTCTAAATGAAGAGAGTGACAGAATCCCAATGAATTCATCAAAGAATATTCTGGCTGCTGGATAGAGAACGTATAGTTGTCCTTCAGTACCTGTGGGGTTTTGTTCCAGGGCCCCCTACAGACACCAAAACCCAAGCATACTCAAGTCCCTTATATCAAATGGTGTAATATTTGCATATGGCCTAATATAACCTACAGACATCCTTCCATATACGAGTAATCATCTCTAGATTACTTGTAACAACTGATATACTGTGATGCTATCTACATAGCTGTTATAGAATATTTTTCAGGGAATTATGGCAAGGAAAAAAAGGATCTGTGTGTGTAGCACAGCACAACTTTTTTCCCCAAGTACTTTAGATTCATGGTTAGCTGAATCCATGGATGCACAGAAAAGGGCCCATGATACTAAGTAAAAATGAATAAATAAATAAATGAATAAATAAATAAAGTGCATGATATGATCCCACTTAAATATTTTAATTCTATCTATATGCATGTGTATGCTAATTTATACATACATTAAAATAGACCTGGAAGGCACTATAGCAAAATTAAACAATGGGCCTGTCTCAAAGAGAAGAGACTGGGGAAGGACAAAAGGTGTGGGAGATTTCAAGTCAGCTCTTGGCTACCATCTCTAAATGGAACCCTCATAGGCCAAGAACCCTACAGCATTCCTGGTTCTATCATCTAAGCCAATCATTGCCATCCTGCTTCCTTGTCAGTGCCCCACCCAAGGGATGCAAGCAGTCAATTAGCTACCTGTGGCCTTCTGGATTTCCTGGGCAGAGGTCAATCCAAGTGAGCTCTTGCTGACTGCGAGGGCCACATTACAGCTCTCAGCACAGTCCCACTGATGCCCCCTCCTAAGCAGCCTTGAGATAAGTGAGTAACTCCACCTGCACCCCAGCTGTCTCTCCTCAGAATACGTCTCACAGAACCACCGCATCCCCAACATTCGTCACTTCAGTGATCCCTTACACACTCTCACAATCGCTGGGGAAATTCAAGAGGTGTGCCGCCAGTTCTGGGCCATTTCCGTTGAAAAATACGCGTGGAATCTGACTCATACATCTTTGTTACGGGATATCTATCATCTCACAACATCTAAGACAAAACCGCTAAATTAGCATCCTGTTATTACATGCAGCACATGAAGAGGAAAATGGTATTAGCGGAGTGAACGTGGTCATTCAGGATATATAATACCTGAATCCAAATCGCTGACTCTGTAGAAACGTCAGACACGGTGGTGAAGTCAACAGATTAAAAACATCCAACCACGCAGAAATGGCTATTGTTCTATTACAGTCTCAACTTTTGCTCAGAAAGTTGAAATCACAGATATGTCAAGTAACGCGTGATCTATGCTTTAATAAAAATATATTAAGCAAACATTTATCGTAGCATAGATGAACATGAAAAGCATTCATTATGTAACAAAGTGTGTAGAGGTGTGTATGTGTGTAGTTTATTAAAATGTATTTCCCTCTTTCCTTTGATGTGAAGGATATGAAACTATCAATTTTCATATAAACATGATGATCTGAAATGACTTCCATTCCAAACTATAGCAACAAACCTTTGAGAAATCCCCAGCACTAAGAAAACTGTCAATACACTTGGTGAAACTCCAGAACAGGAGTCTCATGGCTTGCACCCCTTGTGCCACTCACCTCGCTGGCGATTTCAGCAGCTCTCTTGGCACGCTGGATTTCAAGGGTGTCAGTGCCAACTTGCATTCCCTTCCCTTTAATTTCTGACTCCAGGTCTTTCTTGTATTCTTTCTGTAAAAGGCAGCACTTCATAACATTCAGACACTTGGGGGGAGAAACAACTATCTATAGTCAAGGATACCCGAAAATTGCCAAATATATAAAAGATGACGGGTGGGGAGAGAGGAAGGAAGGGATAGGGGAGATGGGGGAGTGGAGGGAGAGAGAAGGAGAGGAGGGAGAGAGAGAGAGAAACACAGCTTACTTTGTATTAGGAATGTTCGCCTGGAAGTAAGTTTTCTAAAGTGCTTTGAATTATCATTGTTATTCTCACTGAAGAAAGGTATATAAAGTTCTGACGATTTTTCGTATTAAAAAGGAAATTGCCAGGCACTCATCTTCACTAACAAACTGCCTTGGGACCTAAAGGATAGGGCGGCAGGTGCAAGTAGAAAGGAAGGGAATTGAAGCTGTGACTCTCTCAATAGATGCTGGAAGTGTTCCTTATCATATCTGGTAAATTCATCACAATATGGGAATAACAACAGCTCCAGGCAGGATCTGTCCACTGTAAAGGTCAAAGTACCTGCAGATAGCATGAAGCCTAGCACGGAGGGGTGCACAGTAACTGAGCACTTCTTTTGGATTTTTCATTTCTTTACCTCGTATCAATTCCTCCCTTTCCTGAGAAGGCCTCATTTACTACTGTTTCTGCCATCACCTTGCCATTCATGGGCATCTGGCTAGACTCTGCTACTGAGAATTTAAAACAGTTGTCCCAAGTATTATGGACAAATGATTACAAGATTGACTTCTGAACGTAGACCAGACATGTCATCTTAATAGAAGACCTTGCCGAGCTGAATAAAGAAATTATGGAATACGTAATCTATCGAATACTACACAGCAGTTAAAAAAAATGAAATCCAGTCATTTCCAACAAAATGGAGGAATCTGGAAAACATCATACTGAGTGAAATAACCCAGTCCCAAACGGACAAATATCATATGTTCTCCCTGATCTGTGACAACTAACTGAGCATCTAAAAGGAAACCTGTAGAAGTGAAACTGACACTATGAGAAGCAATGACTTGATCAGCCCTTGTCCTGACTGTTGAGGAACAGCTTACTATTTTATTCTTTTTAGTATTTTCTTTTTCTACTTAATACCATTGGTTAAACTCTACTTAACATAGAACTACTCTTAGATGTTTAAATCCAATTGAAAATTGATCCTTGTGAAAAATAAGAGTGGGAATAAGAGAAGAGATGTACAGTTTGGCACATATTCCCACAGACTTACACCTAAGGGTAAAGCTAAAAACTTGCCATGGGATTCCAAATCCCATTAAATTTGCAGGTGCTAATGCTATTGTACCAGTTAAAGTGATCATTTTAAGTGCATAATTGATCATAAAGATAGGAATAAGTGTCAAAGGGATCACATAAATAAGACCAACTGTCTGGTAATAACAATACATAGAATTAAAAAGGAGAGAATGATCCAACATGGGAAGCAGGCCACACAGCACTCATATAATGACAAACACCTTAACTAGCACTCTGGCCTCAGATCAGCTCTTAAGACATTCAGATCTGGCTAAAAAGCCCAAGAGAGCATTTCAGGCATGGAAAGCCAAGACATTGTGGCAAAAAATATCTACATGAAAGATCTCTGTGAGATCCCAGTGGAAAGAAGGAACCATCAAAGAAGGAGGCACCTTTCTCTGAAGGGAAGAGAGAATTCCCACTTTAATTATGGCCCTGTCTAAATAATGTTGGAGTTTGTGGGCTCAAGAGACTTCTACAGCCTTGGCAGCTTATGGCAAGAGCCTCGGGTGATTACTGACATCATAAATAAGAGTGTCAATTGTTAAATCAATAACAGGAGTTACTGTGCACTTGCTCCCCATGTAGAACTTCTGTCCTTAATAAGTTGTACTATGAGAATTAACAGTAAAACTAGTCTTCAAACAGTACTTTATACTTTTTGTGTCTGTGTGGGTGCAAACTATTGAAATCTTCACTTAGTATAGAGTTGATCTGCATATATAGATAATTAAAAATGATTCTTAATGAAGAATGAGATGGGAGAGGGAGTAGGAGGTGGGACAGGAGTGGGGGTGGGATGAGGGGTATGGGGGGGGAGAACAGTTATATTCCAAAAAGCTGTACCTATGAAATTTATATTTATTAAATAAATGCTGTTAAAAAAGAAGAGCTTGCCAAAGATTACAACATGGAGATGCCATATGATGACAGCATGGGCCAGAGACCAAAAACTGCCCAGTGGACATCTGCTGTCTATGACCAGCAGCTCCATCTTCTTCCAGGGAATTCCCTCTGACCTCTCTCCATCCAGACACTTTGGGTCACAGACTTCCTTCACCTCTGTACTCCTTGCACATATTGTTAATTCCACTAAAATGCTTTTTACTGCTTTTGAAGATTTATTTATTTATTTATTTGAAAGACAGAATGACACAGAAAAAGGGAGAGACAGACCATCCATCTGCCGGTTTATTCCCCAAATGTCCACAACAGCTGGGGCTGGACTAAGCCAAAGCCGGAACCAACCAGAAACACCATCAGGGTCTCCCACATGGGTGGCAGGAATCCAAGAATGTGGGTTTGTTCCTCTGCCTTCCCAGGCACATTAGCAGGGACCTGGATCTGAAGCCAAGCAGCCAGGACTCAAACTGGCACTCTGATAAGGGATGCTGGCATTGCAAATAGTGGTTTAACCTGCTGTGCTATAATGCTGGGCCCTAAAATGCTTTTTTTAAAAAAGATTTATTTATATATTTGAAAGTCAGAGTTACACAGAGAGAGAAGGAGAGGCAGAGAGAGAGAGAGGTCTTCTATCCGCTGGTTCACTCCCCAATTGGCTGCAACAGCCAGAGCTGCGCTGATCTGAAGCCAGGAGCTAGGAGCTTCCTCCCGGTCTTCCCATGCGGGTGCATGGGCCCAAAGACTTGGGCCATTTTCTACTGCTTTCCCAGGCCATAGCAGAGAACTGGATTGGAAGTGGAGCAGCTGGGTCTTGAACTGGCACCCATATGGGATTCCAGCACTGAAGGCAGTGGCTTTACCTGCTACGCCACAGCACTGGCCCTAAAATGCTTTTTTAAGATTAATGTGCATTTTTGAAATATTTAAGAATTTAAAATATTTTGTGCTAAAGACACTGTTAAATGACATAGGGCATTAACTAAACAAATCAGTAACCATGAGAGGCCAATCAGCACATTACACTCACCAAACTCCTGACACAAAGATTGCATGAGTTGGGAACACAGGACAGAGGTTGATCCTAGGAGACTCAATCCCAGGACCTTAATGGCTCACTTCCCATTGGGATGACCACCCATACACAGGGTATCTGGTTAATAGGGTCATCACATGGAGCCAGCCTCCCAACAGTGAAGCCAGGAAAGAAGACAACAGAAGCCACAGGCGAAGGGGACAGACACCACCTGAACTCCAACCTGAAGCAAACTCCATCTTCAGACCTTTCTATTCTGAGCGCTAAACACATTTCCTTTGTTGCTGAACCCAACTTGAGTTGGGCTGCTTTCATCTGAGCAACAAGGCGGTCGTCAGCATCACCACCACAGCTGATTTACACATGGGGACAAAGCCTGAAGCTTTTTCAGTGCCAAACTCAGTAGATTTCTCCTCGAAGCACAGTACCATTATGTGACACCCAGGCAATAACATAACATAGGGATTAAAGGACAGAAAGCACTTCAGAGAAACTCCATTCCTTCTTCTTTGAAGGTCTCATGAAGTGAGAAGCAGGTGCTATCATCTGATAACGAGGGTCACTGGAGCTCATTCCACCACCAAGGGAAGGACAGAAGAGTCAACTGCGTTATGAGCCCAAGAGCCCGTGCACTTGGCACCTGCGGTAACAGACAGACCATGATACTACACCTGCCTAATCTTTGGTCTTTTACTTGTTTAAAAGCGTAAGTCAAATCTCAGAAGGCTATTTTGTTTTATTATACAGATTTTCTCTAAAATGAGAAAATGGCCATTTTTCTCATACCACAAAGAAAAGAGATTGCGAGTATTGATTGTCTAGGGAAGGATTACTAAGACATGGCTGCTTATAGTTATCCACATATGTATACAATGTTTGAGAAAGAGTTACAGGTGAAGAAAATTAGCTGAAAGGTATTATATTCCAAGTTATTAAATATACTCACCTCGCTGGCCATTTCAGATGCTCGCTTTGCTCTCTGAATATCGAGAACTTCTGAACTGAGTTCCATTCCTTTCCCTTTTATTTCATTTTCCAAATCTTTTTTATATTCCTTCTGTAAGACAAGAATGCACAGTTCAAAACTTATGAGGAATCACATTACGCAGTGTACTGTTTTACATGTTTCCCAGAGATCAGAGGAGGAGGAAGCATTACGAGGAATAAAACGAATCAGACAGCTGCGATTCATGCTTGTTTCGTGCAGACACTTCATTTCTCCTCCGTCAGCTTCAGAGTGGCTTCCAATATTAGCCATTTCTTTTTATTTTTTCCTCCCTTTCATCCTTTCTCCTAATATGTTTTGGTACTGAAGTGGATTTTATAAAAAGATGTCCTTTCTTAAAACCATGAGAAAGATCTTAAGCATACATGCTTCTTATTTGGAGTACTTCTTTGAAAGCTATCTATAAAATATGAGTTACAAAAAGAATGTAGTTGAGAAGAATGGAAAATCACAAAATCAAAAGGTTTGATATAGCCAAAATTAAAGAAAAGACTTGCATTTTACTCAAAGATTTGTAAAACCATATATTTACTTACAGATTGATAATATTTAGTTTGAACTTTACCTATTTTAATAATGGATTTTAACTAGATAAAAATATCCTAAACAAATCAATAAATCTTATACATAACTTTTTTTCCTCTGCTAACAAAGTGCTTGTTTCTTACTTATCTACATTCAGAAACAACAGATATCTTACTCCTAATCATCCAAGCTTCATTTATGACTAACATTCAAGATGAAAGATAAAATGTCCTTCTTAAGACAAGAAATCTGGTTCCAGTTAATTCTAGGGTTCACTTCATGTTATTTTCCCTTTGCCCAGTATAATTAAATTAGCCTGTCCTCTGCCCAACTAATAGCTTAATAGACGATGTAATGGGCTACTCATGATTTGGGAAATGGTGCTAAGTCAATGACTTGGGTGAAAGCCACTTATTTGGTTGTGTGACCTTCAGGAAGACCTTAAGAAACTCATGTTTGATGTCCAGCCTGGAAAAATGGAAATAAAAATACTGGATCTAGCAATGTTAAAGGGCAATGGGGGGAAATCAAGTTAAATGAAGTATAAAATGATACATTGAATATGCTAGATGTAAAAGCCATAAAATAAGGAATGTAAAACCCATCTGTAGCTAAATGCTTACATTTAAGGAAAGTATAATTTCATTGTCACCAAAAGCTTGTTTTTAAAATTAGACATCTCTGTAACTTCATCAGAAGATTTCTTTCTTTTTTTTTTTTTATTTTTTATTTTTGACAGGCAGAGTGGACAGTGAGAGAGACAGAGAGAAAGGTTTTCCTTTGCCGTTGGTTCACCCTCCAATAGCCGCCGCGGCTGGCGCGCTGGTGCACCGTGCTGCTCCGATGGCAGGAGCCAGGTACTTCTCCTGGTCTCCCATGGGGTGCAGGGCCCAAGTACTTGGGCCATCCTCCACTGCACTCCCGGGTCACAGCAGAGAGCTGGCCTGGAAGAGGGGCAACCGGGACAGAATCGGTGCCCCGACCGGGACTAGAACCCAGTGTGCCGGCACCGCAAGGCGGAGGATTAGCCTAGTGAGCCGTGGCGCCGGCCCATCAGAAGATTTCTAATCATAGTTGTTATGGACTGAATGCCTAAGTCCCCTAAAATATACTGAAGCTCTGACTCCCAAGTTGATGGTATTTGGAGGTGAGATCTTTGGGAGGTAATTAGGTGTTGAGATTGTGAAGGTGCAGGCTCCAGGATGGTTAACAAGTCTCTAGGAAGGGAGAGGAGGAAACAGAGTTCTCTGTCTCTTCCTGTGCTTCCACAGGGAAGGGCTAATGCATACAACAGGCCAAGAAGTGGCTCTCACCAGGAAACGAATGTGCACCTTGATCTTGGACTTCCCATTCTGCACAACCCTGAGAACTGGCTGTTGTTTAAGTCACCCACTGTACAGCATTCAGTCCCAGCAGCCTCTGGCAGATTAGTGCAATAAATTCTTGGGCCTTCTCTATCCTGATGCATGCATTCTGAATCCACAGGTCTAAAACAACAAGCAAAAGGAGGAGTAGGCCAGTGCCGCGGCTCAATAGGCTAATCCTCCGCCTTGCGGCGCCGGCACACCGGGTTCTAGTCCTGGTCGGGGTGCCGGATTCTGTCCCGGTTGCCCCTCTTCCAGGCCAGCTCTCTGCTGTGGCCAGGGAGTGCAGTGGAGGATGGCCCAAGTGCTTCGGCCCTGCACCCCATGGGAGACCAGGAGAAGCACCTGGCTCCTGCCTTCGGATCAACGCGGTGTGCCGGCCGCAGCACACTGGCTGCGGCGGCCATTGGAGGGTGAACCAACGGCAAAAGGAAGACCTTTCTCTCTGTCTGTCTCTCTCTCACTGTCCACTCTGCCTGTCCAAAAAAAAAAAAAAAAAGAGGAGTAGAAGAAAAAGGCAATCGCATGTATGAAAATTATTAATGAATCTTAAAATGGATCTCCCTGTCATTTGTATACAAATGATAAAAAGGATTCTCCTTTAAAACAAAAGTCATATAAGGGGTTGGCGGGTAAAGTCACTGCCTGCAGTGCTGGCATCCCATATGGGCGCCGGTACGAGTCCCAGCTGCTCCACTTCTGATCCAGCTCTCTGCTGTGGCCTGGGAAAGCGGTAGAAGATGGCCCAAGTCTTTGGGCCCCTGCACCCATGTGGAAGATCCGGAAGAAGCTCCTGGCTCCTGGCTTCAGATCAGCTCAGCTCCAGCCATTGCAGCCAACTGGGGAGTGAACCAATAGAGGGAAGATTCCTCTGTGTGTGTGTGTGTAACTCTGACTTTCAAATAAATAAATAAATCTTTCAAAGAAAAAAGTCATATAAAAACCTCAAACTTTTAAAACACAAAAAAATAAAGGTAGGAAGCTGCCATTTGTTTAGCCTTCAACCTCAAAAAATGGTATAGGCACTAAAAGTGAGAAGAGACAGCACAGCACAACATACGTCACAACAGGGAATCACATTAAATTTCCAGAGCCAGTAAAACAGCATCTGCTTATTACAGAAGATCATGACTGTACTTCTAGACACATAATGTTGTTCTCCTCTATTTCACTGGTATAAGACATTTCTCTCAGCAATACTTTCTTCATTTGGAAAATTCAGGGTGAAATGGAATTTCACTTTCCATTTTACATATATATTCCATTTATAACCTATCTCACACAACCTATACTACATATTATCATAGTACGTATATAATTTATAGATATTCCATTTATATTAAGAGGAAGCATCCCTCAATATAAGAACATATTTAGACAGACTTGAAAGAACTCCAAGACACTTTTTCAGACATGTAGAAAACAGAGAAGCTTTTAAAGAGCTGGACCATGAACTCATTTTTAATGGTTAGATTTGAGCAACTTCACATTCAGCGTAGTTAATATATTATTAATTGTGAGGCAAAACATTAAGCTTAGGGGAGAATAAAATGAAAAATATTTCCCCAACTGAGAACACAAAGGACTTATAAGTAATACACAATTTATCCAGATCTTAAGTGTGTGCATCTCACTTCTGATAGCAGATGTTATGACAATCCTACAGGGAAGCTACAGCTGTGGCTAAGAGACTGTTCATAAGAACTAAATTTGAAAGAATCAAGCTTGTCCCACCGGTATTCAGAATTTTAAAACACACACTGCTATTTGGAGTTAAGGTGCTACTTGGGATGCTTTCATCAATACTAGGGTGCTGGTTTGGTTCAAGTCCCAGCTACTTCGCTTCTGATCCAGCTTCCTGCTAATGTGTGCCCTGGGAGGCACTGAGTGATGACTCAGGTGCTTGGGTCCTTGCCACTCACATGAGAGACCTGGATGGAGTTCCTGATTCCTGACTTCAGCCTGGCCTAACCCTGGAAATTACAGGCATTAGGGAACTGAACCAGCTAACGGAAGATCTCTCTCTCTCTCTCTCTCTCTCTCTCTCTCTTCTCTCTCTCTCCCCTTTCTAAGTAAATCAAATGAAACATTAAAAAAAAAAAAAACCTAACTGCTATAAAGCTATAAAACCAACCACTTATAGCATTTCTCAGCTACAATAAAACAAAACAAAAAAATGAATATTTTTTCAAGTTTTTCAAGGAAATCTGGGTGACTTCTTCCCTCCATTTAAAATGGAAATGTTCATATAGACATTGCTGATTTTAATGAGCATGTAAAACATTATTAATAAAGATTAGAATGAGAAAAAAGAAAAAAGAGTTAACATCTCAAACACTCAATCAGAAGAGAACTGGTAAGCATTTCCTGAGTTATTTCTTCTCTTTGGAGATATTTAATAGAAAACAGCAGGAGCTTACCTCCCTCAAAAGGTTGGTGATGTACTTTGCGTGTAAGAACTCTGGAGTCTTGTCTAAATCCAGCGAAGACCTCCCTTTAATCTCCTTCTCAAAATCTTCTCTGTAAACTTTCTGTTAAATAAGACCCACAATTTTAAACATGGGAAATCCTAGTGACTGCTGAAAACACAGAACAAGAGTTCCCAGAATAAAGCTGATGCTTTCTTATACAGTTCCACCACCGTGGAGTTTTCTTATCAACAAGAAACTACTTCCACTTTATTCTACATTTCAGAATTCTACCAGACAAAAGCAGAATCCTCTCTCTGGAAAACCATTCTGATGAGGCTGCTTAACACTTGCCTAGGATCTGATGTTAGGAGGGGAACCAACAGGACTGGCTGTTTGGATCCCCTAATTAACTCACTCAGAAAGGAGTGGGTTCTTCTACTGGGAAAACACTTGGTGGTGTGCAAGCCCATTTAAAGCAAAGTCTCATCACGGTCACGGGCCCATTATCCTGCTCCTTGTCAGTCCTCAGTGACTCCAGGGAAGACCATTTCTAAAATTTCATGGAGGCTGGTTGCTAGAGGAGGGGTGGGTATTTTCCTTTAATGACTTTGCTACTGAGAATGCTTCTCCACACTCTGTGTAATTTGAAATTAATCAGGTTACCCTTTGAGGATAAGCTTCTTTTGAACTTGATAAATCCTTCTTTAGGTAACAGAAGTGGAATGCTGATGGTGACTGTGGAAGGCCACCACCCATCTCTTTGATACTCTCTGCCACTCTCCCACTAGGATTCACTTAAATCTAGCATTTGAGCTATGTGCTTGGAAATCAACAGTAGCCCATGCTTTATGACTCTAAAGACAGTCACTCTAATTTAAAAATATCCATCCCTGTGAAATAGTTCCGGAGCAAAGACCAGACTTTACAAGACAGGTGTTTTGCACCAATTGCATAACAGTAAATAGACTCTGCATGAGATTGTAGTTTATGCAAAATGAGAGGCTATTTCGAGGTTCATTACATAATTATTACAAAAAAGTTAACTGCAGAAATAGAGGAATTCTCCAAACCAGAGGGAGAGTAAGAAAAGTGTGTTATCTCCTGAGCATGACAGACATGTCACACGTGGCTTTAATAAATGACACATGACAGAGACGAGGAAAGGCCGCTGTGGACATTCTGTAAAGCTACCAAGAACGAATTAAGAAGTCTTGTTGAGAACGTTCTGAAACAACATAGAGATACACGAAAGATCAATAATGAGAAATGTCCTTTTCTTATGTGGCACTGAAAAAAAAAAAAAAGCTGAATCTAGGGGGTTTCCATGACTTAAAGGAGTCTTTGAATATATATGATATGATATATCATATAGTGCCATATAAATATGATAAATCCTCAGTCCCCACTGCCAGGAAGCCTTGGCCTAGGACATCCAACAGCCAGTGGCTACAATGAAAGGGAAAACATGCCTCCCTTGGCAGGAGTGGAGGATCGACTCAGGGAAGAAAAGATAACC